GAGGAAATTAAAGGCAGCGGAATCTAGCAGCACTTCTCCAAGCAGTGAGGAAGCCGCAGGTAAGTTCCTTTGGACTCCATGACCTTATAGAAGGCCGAAGTGCAGAAACGATCACTAGCAAGCAAAATTCACGGTCCCTTTCCTTCCCTAGCAAAATTTTGTTTGGTTTCAAGAGGACATTTATTGAAGCAAAGTCCTACATTTTTTGCTTTGCTCTAAAAAGACAAATAAATCAATATACTATCTGTGGAAAATAGCAGAGAGGAAAGAAAGGGGAATTTGAGTGAGAATATTAGTTCAACGGGTAGCTTGAAAAGCAGTCACAAGTCTTGAAGGCTTCAGACTTAAGATTGATTATATTCTTACAGGCTTCTAATGGACTTACTTTGGGAACACAGCATGCCTGTTTCTTACAAGTTTGGCGCTCCTAAAACAGCAATAAACTACATCAAACCTGATGAGTCCTGCTCCTGCAGGCCTGTTTTGAGAAACAATGCAAGGGGACTGCCTTGACTCTTGATCTATGAGTAAGGCCCGTGACCAGTGAAGGTGTTCCTGTTCCCAAATGAAGGTGTGAAAGTGCCAGGAGAAGCCATCAAGTTTCTTCTCCTCTGGCTTTTGACCCAGATGCAAAAAGTTGGGGTTTGATGGGGTTTTTGTTGTTCTGGGGTTTTTTTAAGTATCATGTGGAATTCTAAAGACAGTGGGGCAGGAATTAACAAGATCTGAGTAACTGCATCCTCCCCCCCCCCCCCGGTTTTCAACATAACCATTAGAAAACCACTAAAACCAGTATCACTAGATAGAAGCAAGTGGGTCGTTATTATTGGTTTCAGAGTTTATATAGGGTGATACCGAGGATCTACGGTGATGACTTAACAGTTCCCTTCCTTGGAGTTCACAGAAAAAGAGGAACCAGCCTTTTAAGAGAGAGCCCCTTATGTGGAGGGACAGGCAGGTGACACAGGAAAAGTCAAACAATTTGACTGAACCTGATGCTAACCCTTACACCTACCAAATCAGAAATTAGACTCAAGGATAGAATACCATTTCAAAATTGTTGTTTTTTTGAAATCTGTAGTTCTCTAGGCTGTTGTGAAAAATTCTGCATTCCTTGTTATCTCACTACTTTAACCCTATGGGTCCAACTGGAAAATAAAACAGTCAAACATGGAAACAGGCTAGGTCCCTGGTTTGTGCAACTAAGGTGGCACCCAGATATGGGATGAACATTTAAAATCCAGACCTAGAAGAAGTGACAGTCACTGCTCTGATTAAAGGAACTTGCAATCATATAGCTCAAGTAGGCAGACAGCAGCCAAGCATCTATCATGAAAGGACAGGGGTAATATTAATTGATTCAGGGAAGAAACTACTAGATGATCACTCAAGGAACATAACTTTACTAAATGCTCAAAAATTACTCCTACCCGAACATCCTCAAATAGCTATCTCAAGGAGAAGAAAGAAAAAAAAAAAAAAAAAAAAAAAAAAAAAAAAAAATCAAACCACAGTAGGACTACAGGTCCTCCTCTATTTACAGGTCTCTTTGCAGAGACCTGTAATAATATCTCCTGTCATTTTTATAAGCATTCAAATGAAAGAAGAGCTTTGTGATTATCTTTTAAAAGCGGCGCAGGGGAAAAGGGAGGGCAGAAGAAAGAAGCCTTGTAGAAATTTGCTAACAAATATACAGGAAGATGCACATTCGTAAGTATAAATGAGGTCACAGCTATGCGTAAAGCAACAACAAAACTGAACAGCTCAACTTCTTCACTGCAAGGATTTCTGATTACTTAATATTCCTCCGAGAAACTTAAAATTTGAATAGGCCCACAAAGTCCTAAAAATGCACTGGAGAGCCAAAAATCTTTTATTTTATGACAACCTTGGAGGACAAGCTGTTTTTACATAGATTCACTAAGTGGTTACAAGAGAGAGATTTTGAGAACTGCTTTAGAAATGAAATTTTCTCCTCACTTCCTGAAGTGGAAAATTCACTATATTCCCTGAAAACATCTCCTGTTTTTAAACCTGACTACTAGTTTCTAGTAGTCTACTAGGACGACAAAGCAACTGTGAGGCAACCTGCATTTCTACAAAAAATTATCCTGCATCATTTAAATTTTGGCAGTTAAATACAGGAAGTATGTTGTGTTTCTCTGTAAAGCTAAACTTGGATCAAACAACATTTTTCTTTTTTCTAAGGGCACCTAAAGCATATAACACTAGTGTGTTAATTATTTAAAATTTGACTTGCTGAGTTCATGCTTTGGGCATTTGGGCAACTCGAAGAAATAACTTGGCTGTTATTTTTGCAAAACTTTGTAGGAATTTAAGGTATTCTTCTCAAACTTCTATAGATAAATTCAACTGGACAGAACTGAAGTGTCAAAAAAGAAACAGAAGATATCCAAAACAATTAGAAACATGACAGGAAAATACTTACGGCTCCCTTTGAAAAATACAAGTTACGACATCACTTCTGAGTGTTTCTGCGCACAGAAGTGCTCAGACTGACAGCAACAGCCACATAAGACACAACTAAGATCCAAGGTGATGAGAAGCACCTTCCCCGTTACTTCATTCTTCTACTGTCTAGGCTACAAAAGAATCCACTTCTTCCTAGTACAGAAAAAAGCCATACCCTTACATTACAGTTCTCTGCAACTTCTTTTAACACACAAAATTACTGGAGCTATTCCAAATGCCATCCATTCACAAAGCAGTGAAGTGGGCAGGGAAGCTACGATGGTAATCACATTAGATACCACAGCAGAGAACATAAAAATAATAACTATTCAAAATGGATAGTTTATTAAAAAAAAAAAAAAAATGGAGACACAAACAGCCTACATACTCATTTAAATTATACAGTATCCCACTTACCCAGGTAAGAAAAAAAATAGCAATTATACGGTCAGTAAATGGATATTGTTAAAAACTTGCTTGATAGTTGAAAATATTTTCATTTGAGACAGAAACTAGCTAATGAAAAAGAACTTAAGACTTCTAAGAAATGGAAATTCTAGATATGTCCATGCGTTTGGAGACACCCTTATAAACCAGGTAGGAGGAACAAGAAGTCTAGTGTTTTCCCACAGAGAAGCTAAAAAAAGTAGAAGACTGTAGATTTCAGCCCTCAGTTGCACCTCATTTAATGCACCACAAATACCATCACAGCCATAAATGTGAGTAGTGGTGCTTCATTCCTGTTTTCACTCAAAGTAAGAGATCCCAATAATACACGTACAGATAATTCACTACACCTTCAGCCTTGCCTCTTACATGCTCTGCTTCTAAACATTCCGAGCAGACCCAGACCCTTCCCTCCTCCCACCACTACACTGCAGTTACTTCCTTTTCCGTGCTGTCAAGATGGGAAATATGATTCGAAAGGAGGAAACGAAAGACAACTGGCTTCTCAGTCATCCTGTTATGGGAAGCGTGCAGACAGAAGCGTGGAAAGCCTGTGTGGTTGGAGTGTGTCTAGTACGGACAGGAACCTGGTACTCATTAACAAAAATGGTGCCAGTTCAGTTTTCCAAACAACATTTTGCCAGAAGTTTAGAGCTTGACCAAATTTAGGTCAAAACCAGCAAAAGGCAACTCCATGTTGCTTTAAAATCCATTTAAAATCAGAATACAAAAAATATTTTTTTTGTTCTAAACCTCTTTTCTTAATCTTTCTAAATTTAAATCAAAAGCTTACCAAAACCAATGCAACTGGCATTTAAGGTCACCTTCAGTCTAAATTTTGGCAAAACTACAAATAACTGGAAAGATGTTTTCATAAGGCTTAGACAGCCTTATTAACACACAGAGGTACAAGTATCATACATAAGGATGTTTCAGTCTCATTAAGGGATAGCTGGCCTTTCATACCACCTACAAAGAGAGACAGAATTTCATACAAATGAGATTACACATTTTCAAATAGATCTCTTCTACCATGAGACTGGGATCCCTTTAAACAGAGACAGAATAATGGTACCGTGATATAAAGATGAATCAAGAATGATGAAGACAGATTTATCTTAATTTAACCTGAATATGCATTTCCTGATGTTTACATTTTTCTATGAAACTTTACAGTTCTATTAGCACTAAATAATTTTATAATAAATAAATCAGTAAAAATAGCATTTCTGAAGTTCCATAGTTCATCAGGTCCTATTTTGTCGGTTACTTACTGCATCTGCAGAAAAGGCAATGTTTCTAAAACTAGAGAGCAATAAAGATTTGCAGGCTAGATGTAAAGGTTCTACACTTACATGCATATAACCTTATAAATCAGGTATCGAAATGTTCAGGAGTATAACTGGTGTCTATCACACTACTTGGTTTTCCAGTCTTCTTGTCTCTAAATGTTTTCTCTGAAAGTCAGATTTGTTTTTAAAGGTAGGTCATCTTTCTAAATATAAGACATAGGGATTACAGAACTAAAAATTTATTTGAAACAAATACTCCTGAGAGTTACTTCACAGAAGCTGCTAAGCACTTGGTGTTTTTTAAGTTTTCTAAGGTGTTCATGAGTGTTACTTGGGAACAGACAGTTGAGGTGAGCAGTTTAAGTTTACATTAATACAAATTAAACAAAGTCTATGGCATAAGGCAGTACATTCTGCTATTTGTAACATGCTCGGTATTTTCTCTTGAAATAAGCACAAAGTAAGAATTTTTACCTATGATAAACTTCAATATTAACCCTTTTTGTTCTAATCCCCCACAAAAACTGAAATTTAAGTGGAAAGCTTGCTGCTAATGTTTGCATTCCACTTTTTTTCCTAAAATGGTTCACCGGGTTTTAAGCAGTATCTTCACATGCACGCAACATGCTAAATATCAATTCAAAACTGAAAGTTTCTGCAAAGACAAACACAAAAAACATGCTGAAAGACAGAATTTTTAAATACAAACACACAGTACAAGTAAAAAAAGCTGAAGACAAATTGATACAAAAAATCAGTATTTATGTAAAAAAATAATGTACTGCATATTGTAAAAATCAGTCAATAACAGTATTCACCTTCACACAGATTTCTAGACTTTCAGACTTCAAAAGGTTACATAGCAAGGAAAAGAGACTATAACTACAGGTGAGGCAGACTGCTTCCTAGTTTCCATCCCAGACATTTACACCCCGAGCCAGCAGGGAGATTAGGAGCAGAATATAAACTCTGCTTACAGTGGAGTGTGGTTTTGTGCTGCTAAAGCATTCGTCCAGCTCACATGGATCTGGGAGTCAGAGCCAGCCTGCCTTTGACAAAGAAACAGCCATAAAAATTAAGCTTCTAAAATGGGGTTGGGATGAAGGTGCAAGTCAGTGAGTGGATCCTCCATGATCAACACACAGGAACTTTTCTGAAATCCAAAAAACTCACTTTATGAAGACTTCATCTCAGTTAGACAAGGTTATCCAAGTTCAAATATACTTTAAAAATACATTCTATACCATGCAAGTTTAAATATGTTACTGTAACACTAGAATTCAGCCTTTTTTTTTTTCATGTTTTTCTCTGAAAAGTTTGTATTACATAAACAGAACTTTTTTTCCACTAACTAAAGAAAGCCTAATCCTTACCTGTTGTAAATCACTATTGTTGAGGGTGTGCCCCACAACTATTTTAAAGCCATGTTATTAAAAAAATATGGTAACAGGATATATTCTCTAAGAAACCCATCTAATATACAGTCTGATGAAGCATCAGAATTCTTATTACAGCTCTTCATTTTTAGGTACTAAATACTCTATAATAATCATCAGGTAATAATGTTTAGTAAGGAAATACAACAGCAACAGCTTTCCACTGTTGGTTTTTTTTTTTTTAAACTTCTAAAAATGCCCTATAAAGCGTCAAAACCATGTAATTTTTGAAAAGTATTGTAAGACAGAGAATTTCAGACTGAATTTTTGCTAAAAACCCCCTCAACTCTGCTCTATCTTTTGGCCGTGATGACTCAACAACATTGAAACAAATGCTGTATCTTAAAGTCTCTGTATCTACCGACGGAGAAAACTAGTATCACATACTAGTTATTAATTTCTCAGAAAATCGTATTTATAGTGTGCAGTTTACATCTAAGATAAGCAAAACAAGATTGTCAAAACAGTACTTCAACATGTAAGAGATGAACATATAAAGGCACATACAGATTGTCAATGATTACATCACATTTCTTTGAAAACAAGAGTATTTCCTGCACTTGTAAACAACTTTGTTTACATAAAGGCTCACACCTTTAAAGTGAGGTTAGTGCTGCTGACTCAATTATTGCTACATTCACAGTTTAACAGAATTTTAGACAATTCGTGAGGTACACTCCCAAATAGAGCCATCTTCATTTCTTCCATGTTCATTTGATCATTAGGTAACTGGATTATGCAGACTAAAACTACTGACCATAGAAGCCAGTAACACCCAAATCATCAGATCCAAGAGAAACATTAGCAGTGATTAAACTTCAAAAGAGCAAATAGTCACCATTGCAGAAAAAAGTTCTTGTTCTTCATTACGTTATGTATAGTATTTTCTTCATTTTTATGTATGCTGGTAAACTTCTATCTGGGCACATCAAGAGCCGATTCAAGGCATATTAGAATTTTTGCGCCTTTTGACCAGTATGTTACTTCAGTCTCTTGATTTAACAGCGTGGAGTAAAGATCACCTTCCCCTTGATCTTCTGGCATACAAGTCTCTTATGCTGTTTCTTAGCTGCTTTATGAACACTTTGTATACTCTTCCACAGTATGTATGCATGGTTTTCTGTAATTCCAGTTCTAGGGGCTGCAACAGGGAATGAACCAGATCATCTCCAAATGAATACTGTAAAGAGGTTAAGAAAAGAAGATTTAAGGTCAATATGGAAGAGTGTCATTATTCAGAGGTATTGAAGAGGTTTATAAAAATACCTTTGAACATTGTATTTGCTTTCTATAGGTTTATTAAATGTTTTCAAAAACTCAGAGAGCTTCTGAATGCAGTATTTGAAAACGACCTCTAAATTACAGACATATTCTCTGATGTTTTCAATAAGCCTAACAAGTGAGATTTATTTTTTTAAAAAATGTAAGAAAATTAACATATCCAGAAATGCAAGGAGGAAATTTAAAATTACCTTATTAAGTTAAAAATTTACAGATCTAAAATGATTTCTGGTTATTTGCTCGTTGAACAGTAACTTTCTTGAATGACCTATAACTTCTCAGGAATACAGTTCTTATCAAATTATAATGAAACAACAGTATGAAAAGTGGTACTACCGAAGTTTCATTAAACTGAATGATGGTCAAGCACATACTATGTTTAACATGGACATGAAATAAAGAACTCATTAATTCAACAGTGCAGTATTTTTTATAAACAAACGATAAGCTAAACCAGCATTTCAAAGTAACATAATTTCGTTCATCTTATTACCACTGAATCAACAGTGTTTTCCATACTTTCTCTGACATATTCACAAACCAAATGGGATCATAAATAAAAAGAAATAATTTTTTCTTCTGTTTTTGACAATGCTCAAAGGAAACAAAGAAATCGTATTTTTATGGAAACACATTCACTTTCCCTGCAATGTATTCTCAGACCCCCAAAAGTACTTTTCTTCATTTTTATATCCATATGACAACATGTAATAAAGCACCATTAAAATATACTATTGATTTTTGAAGGTTATACACACACAATAGCCTGCTACATTAAAATGTGCATCAGTGCTAAATTTTACAGCTCTTCCGTGAGTATACTGATGTAGTGATAAATAGTTTATTAGATGACTTATTTGCAGAATGAAAAGAAGTCGCTGTGCTTTGTATTTAAAGGAACAGCAACATATTAACACACTGAATTTCTAGAAAAGGTCAAAACACAGTATAAAAAAAAATTCTACACTTAAAATCTAGCTACAATTAAATGTTAAAATGTTGCAGAAAATACACACAAACTTTGGGAAGAAGAAAGGTTTTTTTTCTGCATTTTAAAATCTTCAGAAAAGTAAGACTTCTGGTGATCTCCAAATGCTCATACAAACAGTTTACTAGGTGTATTTATTAAAGGAATGGGAACAAAGCCTTTTAAATAGACATCTACAACTACAGGCAATTTTTTAGAATCCTAACCTAGACACAGTCTACACCGTGTTTCAAAATATGCTCATCACAAAAGGAATATACTGGAATACTATCCAAACAGTATATGAAAAATTGGTGAAACGTCTCTTACAAGAGAAAGAAATTACTTTGCTGCAGTCAAGGTAAGTATCCACAAAACCTGCAAAATACATGTAGCACTGTAGATAAGAACACATTAAAAAAAAAGAAAACTTTGCACAAGTACAATGCTGAAAACACTTACATTTTTTATTGCTTCATAGACAGCCCTAAAAGTCGGTTGCTTATCATCATGGTAAACACCTCTGTTTCCATGAAGAATAAATATACCTTCTTCTTCAGCTTGCTTACAATTGCTTCCATAGATGCAGTGGTCAGGCCGGTAATTCCATTGGCAAGGGAAGACATAAAGACTTTCTATGCAGAAAAATGAGAATTCTGGATTAAGTATCAAAAGTGTTTCAGGAAATACATTAATTATTTTTTTTCAAGGCTGCTTCATAGATTGCTGTACAGTTGTTTTGAAACCTAGCAGCTAGTTACACTCTAGCAAGCTCCAATGCTGTCTCTCAAAGCAAATACTTTCATAAAACGAAGAAGTGAAAAGTCCCTTGAATACTTTCACTGAAAAGTCTGCTAAAGAGTATTTTCCTGGATTTTTGAACATCATAGATTAGATCAACTTTGTCATGTTAGACTTAGAATCAATGTGGATTTACCTGGATTGTGAAAAAACATAATGTTCAATAGATCCTGATCCCCCCATGTTATGTTCAACTTGTACTTCTTCAGCAGTGGCATAAGAATTTCTCCCCACTGTAACCGGACTGGTGTCATATCATTCTGTTAAACAAAATGAAGGAAAACAACACACATTGAGGACAATTATACCTATAAAGAAGGAAATGCCCTATAGAATCAGAATTATTTGCTTTTCAAAGTTACAAGTCCCAAAGGTATAGACAATTTCTTCCTTTTAAACAAATAAGCATATGTAAGGAAAATAGTTACGGACATTTCCAATATGCTTTACTTCTCAATTATCTCGTAAGGAAAATTATATACGTCTCCTAATTCTATCTAACTGCCACATTAAATTTTTGTCTTCAAGATTTCCCTCAAATATCTTAAACCAAGAGTTCTAAGAAATAGCAAGGGGTTTCTATACAGCAGTAGGATCTAAAAAAAAACTGCATTTAAGTGATCAGTGCAAGTAGATGGGCACTATTTAAATATCCACACTTCATGCAATTTCTCTATCACACAGGTTTTAATATTAAAGTTCAAAAATTCAAAACATCAATAGAAAATTAGTTATTAAATTGTTCTGAACACATACAGCTAAAAATTTTGGCTACAAAGTAGCGTACAAAAATACTGAAATCCTTCAAAGGTTTTCAAAAGCATTTTCATTGAGTTGAACTAATTTTTTTTAGTTACTGAACTTGAACTTCCACAGCAAAGGCACAACTGCTCACTAGCAAAAGGCAATAAGACTCTAAACCAACAGCTGCTACTTAATTCCCAAATTCTTGATTTAGCAAAATCACTTCAATGGAAAAGGAGAAGGAGCAGTTCTAAGGGTTTGGCTGAAGAGGTGCTGCTTGGAGTAAAGCTGGCCTACACTGAACTCCACATTACCAAAGGGCTTATCATCTGCAGTGTAACAGGTTACGTATTCCAAAGCTGATTTCTTATCTTTACACCACATTTGAGCTCAACTAGAACAGAAAAGGAACAATGCTGCTCACTCTGTACCCTGTACCTTCTACTTCAGATGGAAGAGTGAGGATGGAATAACAGTAAGTCCCAAAGAGAGAAAATTCCTGAACAAGTACAGGATTGTACCCTTGATTCTTTTTAACCACGTTGCCAAAAAAAAAATTTAAATTAGAACTCCAGTATGGTTTGGGATCTGTATATAGAAACACTATAGGAAGAAACAGAAAGGATTACCAGGAGCAAAATATTCAGTTTTAGAATTATAGTATCAAAGACTTTCTTCTCCAAGCTTTCCACTGACAAACTAGAAAGTGCAAAAATTAGCAGTTCAGTTTTTAGTCTTTCCTCAAACCATTTCAGCCATCAAATATGAAGAGCCTTCAGAATTGAAGACTAAAAAAAGAACTACTATCAGATTTCAGACTAGAATTAATACAAAAAAGATCTATAGCTTGTATTATGTAAGAAGCCAAATGGAATATAACAGTCCCTTCTGTCCTAAAAAATTTATTACTATGATTGCTTGCAAGTATTTGATGATAGCAGGCATAAGAAATACAGAAGAGAATTTTTCTCTAGCAACAATTATCATTAGGCTCAGTGCAATGTGATTAAACAAAAGAAAACATAGGCTTAACACCAAGCTAAAACCTTCCAAAAAGCAAATCGATCGGACTGAATCACAGTGGGTAAAGATTACTCCCCTCACCTGAACTTTACCATCCACAGAATATTGATCTAAGGTTTAAATTTAGATTCAGTGCTAAGAATTAAAGGCAGAATTAAATTAGCTCACTGATACCAGGATAATCATGATAAAAGAATACACAGTAGTAAATAAAATTTTAGAGCAACACAGAGAAATATTACTTGAAATTGTTAAAGTCATTATTTCGTGTAATTTTCATTTAACTTGTATAGCTTTAACAGCAGTGAAATCCAGAGTATATCCCAAGGAGATGCAAAGCAGGTAACAGCATACATCACATTGCTAGATGTCTAGAAGCAATAACACTTGACAAATAGTGCTATCAGATTTAAGAATTGGAAATTGTAATATTTCAATAACCCTTGCATAAATAAAAGAGTTATATATTAATTTATTAACATGGATATATAATGAAACCAGTGTAGGAATCACAGAGCGAGAGAAACTATTTGAATAGTTATACAACCTCCTCCTTTAAAATTCTACTGCAACTTGTAATGAAGTCAAACAGCACAAGAAGTAGAATGCTCAAGTTCAATCAAAATTGATGCTAGAATTGCTTTTCAAAAGTTACTCAAGTAAACATGAGAAAAATAACTCTATGATAACTTAAGGATTTCCAGAATATAAACCTCCTCTCCAATATTCAACGAGTTGCAAAGAAGGTTAAAGAAGTTGAAGAAAAAACACCCACAACGGTAGCGGGCATTTCTGTGATGCCATCAAGCTGATACAGACAGGCTCTTAGGAACCCTCAAAATTCCAGGGTTTTTTTTTTTTTTTTTGAGTGGAAGAAAATGTGTAAGAACAAAATATACCTAAGGGCATCAAGATAATTCTCCTAATTTTTTTTTTGTTTGTTTAGATGCTGTGCTTTAATTAGTTGGGTCATTACTGATTTCTGTCCCAGCAGACGTCTGCCTGGCCAAGGCTGAAGTCAGACTTACTGTCACACATAGCCTGTAGCAACCTAGCATTACCCCTCTCTAAGTTCTAATAGGAAATATGAAGTTGAGGAAAAATACTCAAATCATACAGCAATATCTAAAGAAACTGCAGCTATGTCCCACAAACAGTTGAGCAATTTAAATTTCCTTAATGCCAAATGAGAGCAAGCCCTCTTCCTTCTGGTTACGTGACTCTACCCAGTTTTTGTATTAACAGTGCAGGGCTAACACTCACTAGCTGTTCTTGTGAGCTGATTTACTTCACTAACGCAGCAGAAGTATTTCTTTTTTCTGCTGTTTCCAAAATTAATTGAATCATAGGAGGGACCAACAAACACCAGAGGCTAGGACAAAGTAAATAAGAAAAGCAGGGAAAAGCAGATGGTAAGAGATGGGCACCTTCTTTTAGAAGCAGTTAGCTTTTGCACAGGCTCACCATATTTCTCGGAACGATAGCCTTAAGCAATACTGAATGGTAAAAAGAGAAGTGTATCATGGCTTAGGCCATAGAAACTCTCTGAACTTTGATCTTTTTTTTGTCTAAAGCATACCCATGAACCTCTCCTTTGCACACACTATCTGGAGTTACTTTGTTTGGGGCTTGTTTGATTTTCTAAGAGCTCATTCCTTTCCATGACTGCCCATGTCTCAGGCAAAGAACTAGAATCAGTTCATTGGTCCCTATTCACAAAGCCTCACTGATCCAGGACTTTGTGTTAAAACACCCTATCTGCTGTGTTTGCTACATCTCTTTGAGTTTAAAAGTATCTATATGCATACGAACATATAAAAAGTCACCTAGTATTACTTCTTCCATCTCCTAAAAGCTCTTGCACGGTTTACATTCCCATTTTCTAACTGCTTCTTACGGAAGACAACAGGCAGGCACTATCCATCAGAAGCTTCATTACTGATTCTAATCTTATGTCCAGTTATGCCCTGTTTAATGACCACACTATATTCAATAACATATATGTGCACGTGTTTGTATCTGTATATATGTATACATATGTGTGCATATACATGTATATATACAGTGCATTTATTTGTACTGTATGTACACACAGAGTCTCAGAACACACAAGACAAGTAAGATAGTTGGGACCAGGAGTGACAACTTCCATTAGGCACCATAGATAGCCAAGTAGCAAGGATGCTTGTCTGAAATGAATAGACATGACAGTCCTGAGAAGACTGAGGCTTGAATAAATAAGTGGATAAAAGAAGACTTAATCCTGAAGCAATAAATGGAATTACAGGTTTTCTGCTACCCAGGTGAGCACTATAAGCATTGGCTAAAGCCTCCAGTTCTCCTTTTTATTTATTTGTCTCCTGGTTCCTCCTGACTCTTACAAATCAATGTGACAACAGAAGAAAAATGCTTAAAGGCTTCAAGCAGTTCAGCTTGTACTTTTGAGCTGAAGAAACTACAATAGACATAGAACCCACAGTTTTAAATCTATCATACTGGAGGAATATCCTGATGCAAAAGTTATACTGTTTAGACAAGTGCTCTAGCCACTAGAGAGTCACACAAAAAGGTCTACAGGCAGCTTTTTAAAGATACAAAAATGCCCAGAACTTATATACTCCTTGATTAATTTGTTAAGTCTCCTGAATGAATATAAACAAATGCGGACCTTCCTATAAGACAATGAACCATTTTCTAGTTCTACTGTATTTGTGTGAGCATTTTTCATGCTGACCAATCATCCTTTTAAGCCATTCAAGGAACGTGAAGATGAAAACGAAGTCTCCTCAAGTCTCCATGAACAGCAGAGTTTGTGCATCTTGGGGCCCTGTGGTGCTCCACAAGCTTGTGGGACCACACTTGTACTAGGGGAGCATAAACTAAATGGTTCCCCTGCTAAGTGCTCTCTAAGCCAAGATCTCAATAATAATATTGTATAAGAGAAACTCGTTCCCTGTGTAGGCATTACCCAGGCTGCACTATCTAGCTATCATATGATCATATGATGGACAAAAAGCTGGACATGAGCCGGCAATGTGCACTGGCAGCCCAGAAGGCCAACCATACCCTGGGCTGCATCAAAAGAAGCATGGCCAGCAAGTCTAGGGAGGTGGTTCTGCCCCTCTACTCTGCTCTGGTGAGACCTCACCTGGAGTAATGCAACCAGGTTTGGAGCCCTCAGCACAAGAAGGACATAGAACTGTTGGAGCAGGTCCAGAGAAGGGCTACAAAAATGATCCGAGGGCTGGAGCACCTCTCCTACAAGGACAGGCTGAGAGAGTTGGGCTTGTTCAGCCTGGAGAAGAGAAGGCTGCAGGGAGACCTGATTGCGGCCTTTCAATACTTAAAGGAGCCAATAGGAAAGACAGGGAAAACCTTTTTAGCAGGGCTGGTTGTGACAGGACAAGGGGTAATGGTTTTAAACTAAAACAGGGTAGCTTTAGACTGGATATAAGGAAGAAATTCTTTACAATGAGGGTGGTCAAACACTGGAATGGGTTGCCCAGGGAGACGGTGGAGGCCCCATCCCTTGAAACATTCAAGGTCAGGTTGGATGGGGCTCTGAGCAACCTGATCCAGTTGAAGATGTCCCTGCTCACTGCACGTGGGTTGGGCTAGACTACCTCTAAAAGCCCCTTCCAACCCAAACCATTCTATGACTCTATATGAGAGGAGACAATCAAGCACTATCATTCCTAAGTTTCAGATAACCTAGTAGCTCTCCGATTAGACATCGTCAAACTGTTCTGACTGGGCTGAGCATGCTACCACAAGCCTGATACTGTAGGACACTTCTCCAATGTGTCCAATAGGTGGAAGGACTAAGTCAGCAGCATGGACTAGAAATCATGAGGTAGTCTCCTGTCAAAAACAATTCTGAGCCTTCCAATACCAAAAAGTCTCCACTGATGCATCCAGACATTGTATCTGTGTTTCTTGCTCAAGATAGTGGGACAAAGACTCGAGGGAGGATGTACAGGATGATGAAAACAGTAGGGAAAAAAAGTACAGGAATGAAAGGAAAAATATTACATTCATGCAGGAAATAAGTTCTCAGAAACCATGTTAAAAGCTGCACACACACACAAAAAAATCCCAAACCACCAAACAACCCCCCCAAAAACCAGGTATACAGAACAAAACATCTTTTTTATTTCTTTTTTACTTCTTACTATCAAACAAGCGTGAAAGAATATTTCTTCATGTGCACCACCAGTCTCAAATGTTTGAGAAACAGCCACAGTGCACACATGAGCATTCCTGGACAAGTATAAAGTTCAGAAGACATGCGAAAGCAAGGGACAGAAGAATAAATGCATCAGACATGGAAGGGGAAGTCCAAGTCTGAAGTGACAGTTTGAAGTAAAGCCCCGGGATGGATGCCAAAGAATGATGACTAACGATTAAGGGCAGAAATGCTGCATTTCTAACATTTAAAACAACTGGAGTAGGGGAACTAGTTTCTTTTAATTTTTGTTAACTGAAGCCATCAAAAAGTGCTTTGAATCATGTGCTTGGCTATTGGCAAGCTTTGCTCTGTTTCTGCCTCTCTTTCTGAAGCACCCTTTCATAATTCTCAACATTTAGTACACTTGCACGGCACTGGGTAGCTCACTCCAATCTCCATTCCTTTCCCTCAGTTGTATGCATGCTAAGCCTACAACTCATCAAGCAGACTCGCTTAGTACAGTATGTACTGAACAATTTGAGAAAGAGCATTAAGAAGAATGTTTTCAGGACAATTCAAGACTTTTTTTTTTCTCATTCCCCATACCAGCTATGACACACGATCTTCCTCACTACAGAAAGACGTTCAGTGGCACACTTAGCCAGAAACTGTACATCACGTCAGGTATACTGAAGTTAGCCAGCAAGACCCTGAGAAAAGTGTATGGATTTGCACCTTGCCTTACAGCTGAGGTCTTCTAAATCACACGTATTCACCCCCATAATAACGAGCAATTATAAGAAATCACTTCCTCCAAGGCTAGTTTTGGTTTAGCTATCTGACATGTTTCATTGCATAATAAATACGACTACATGGCAACAACAGGAATATGTAGCAGATGTTTTCAAGACCTGGAAAACAATCCAGCCCACTAGTACCAAGGGAAAGCTGCAATATTCCATTTCGAATTTCAAAATATTCATGAATTATTTCACCTGTATATAAGCTGTACATATAGACTTGAATTTTAAGAAACCACCATGTTTAGGTGTCAAGGAGAAAGGACTTTATATTGTCCTCTGGAAAACTGCAGTTAATTTGAAAGACAATTTTAGTAACCTACATAACATGTATACTTTTGAAAATTTTAACTCCAGTGTTAGTAAAAATGCATAAAGTCTCCAACAAATTGATAACCTACATTGTACTGAGAAACCCATTCTGGCATGCTATGAATAAAAGACCAACCTTATCTCAAGAGTTTACCACACTAGAAATAATTCACTACACAGAAATGCATTGTCAGAGGTTAAGATACACACAGTTTTTAGTCCCATATTTTTCACGTTATACTTTTCAACTATTTTCATTTCTCCAGATGCTATAATCAGGAAAACAAACAAATAACAAAGTAGACAATGCAAGATTCTACTGAGGATATATACAGAGAAGTTTTCTTCTCGGGGAAACTACAGCTGTATAATATAGCTACTCTAGCTTTCTACTTTAACTACAACTGAGATAATCCATTCTCCATTTTTCTTAAATTTGCTGTACTTCCATAACAAAAATACATAGCAAGAATGTTAAGATGAAAGCTAAATCTTTCTTAAATTGGAAATGGGGGAGAAGTAGTAATATCTATTGCAAGTTTATATTACCCCTCTTATGGGTGCACCTTCCAATCGTTTTTGACTGATTTTTTTTCCCTAAACAACTTCTCTTAAACAGAGAAGTACTTTTCCCCCTAGCGTAATCACATAGCACTGCTTTTGTGCTTGTGTTTCAAGTCCAAAAGAAAAAACTTCCCATTTGTGAAGCAATGACCATTTCTGTTGCTGTGTGCACTGCTTTAGTAACTACTTCCACAATGAACTTATTTCTTTACAAAAACTATGACTTCAAAGTAAATCAAAAGATACTTAAGGTGATAATCACCTGGTTACAATGTAAAAGAACAAAATTTGGAAACTGTACAGTTAAAAGTAACTTACTAAATGTTTTAGCACCACCTCCTGGTCATACTACTGTACACATTTTTAAAGTTCGTTTACAGTATACATTAACCATTTTCTGTGATCTCTACAGTGAAGAAAAAATACCAGAATATCTACTGACAAATGTAATTTACAGCAGACTGTATCAAGTCACAGGATCTCTCAGAACTAAGAAAAATTAAAACAATCAAGCACACTTGAAATTCAGGAATTCCAAGTTCTACAGTGAATGACATATAAAACCCACAAGTTAAATAGCATTTTAAACAGTGTATTTTTAGAGCATTATTCCAATTACAAGAAAAATATTTTGAAAAATACCGTCCCACATGAGTTTGAAACAAGATTAGAATTAAAAGATGTAAACCCACAGAAAATGCAGTAAAGGCAACACACATACCTTGAAATACTTTCTTCTGATCCGTGTCATATTCATTAACATGACTCCAGAATTTATTCCAGTTACTCCATAATAGGGATGTCTTGCAAAGCGATTATACCACCCGATACGAGGCTCTTCATGTTCCGGTGCCATTGCAGCAATTTGTGTGGAGTTGAACATTCCCAGAAAAGACCAAATATCATCAACAGGCCTCAAAAACAGGATGTCAGTATCAACATACAGTAGTGAATCCACATTTTTGAGAATTAACTGTGAGGGAAAGAAATTGAAAACCAAACTTTTAAGTTTTCTTGAGCTTCTCTTCATAAAACAGAAGTTGCTGCCATTACACAATAAAGTTTAATACATTTTTGTCACATGCAAATAAATCCTGACAGCTTGCAGTCCATAAATTTGTCATCATTCCCTCTTTTCTCATTTTGGAGAATTTTTGTAGAGCAAAATAGCGGTTTTATACAGAATAGTAACGCAAAGGCACTCAGGCTATATCCTATACCCCGGGGCTCCTCAAGAGTAGGTTGGGGGCCAGGTGAAACATTGCTATAACAGGGGCTCCTACCTTGCTCCTGTTCCCTTGCTTTCCTATGCATCTAATCAAACAGGGGAGAGGCGTAAGGGAGCCCCAGAAGAGACAGTATTTGGGAGACAGCCACCACTGCTATAATTCACCTAGCCTGAATTAGGATTTCTGAAGTGTCTTAGATGAGCAAAGAAAAGGCTGCACAAACACAAAACACTCTGGCAACAACAGCCCGTTTCTTGTTTCATTTTCTCTAACACTTCTCAGACCCACGCATGCAGGAAACTTTCCAACTAAATGAGGAGATGAGGCGTGATCAATCCTTCTTTCCTCTGAGAGGATGACATGACCTGTACCTCTCACTGAGGATACTGTGCCATAAGGCAGCCAGTGAGAAAAGCGCTTTTATTCCATAGTCTCTTAGCGCCACAGAAGAGAGATAAACTCAGAGGGTTTTTTAGGATGTCATAAAAGTAACTTTTAGGAGTAGTAGTAGTTCTTAGTTTAAAACTAAGCAGAAATTAGATTAACAAGGGCAGCTTGATGCTTCATAAAGAGACTTCTGTATTGCCGTATTACAGAACAACTTACTGGCAAGAACAGCCTTTGTGAAGCACATGGTTTAAACAATTTCTTCCATTCTGCTGCACTCTCAGTTGGAAACGTTATTGGATATAATGTGTAATTAACTTTTCCTTCATAGGGGAGGTCATCAAGCTATGTGAAAAGAAGAGATCACAATAATTACTTCCGTTCAATTTTATTACAAAAAAGAAATCAATCCCCCATTCAAATTGATAATTGAATACAACTGCAACACCTCTCTTCCACAACAGAAATGCTTCCTGAACTACAAGAATCTGGCAACTATTCAAAATACTTGAACAAAAAGTGGCACCTGCAGGCCACTGTGAAGAAAACACATCATATCAGATCATCTACAAAAGTAAGAGCAAGTAAAATAGATTAGGATTTCCAAAAGGTTAAATACATCAAATAAAACTTCTCCTCTTAACTAGTTTCCACCAGAGAAATACCAATGAAGTCTTTCTCAGTTTAAAATAACCTTATCCAATTTTTGCCACAGTTACTGTTCATGTGACATTAGTGTATATAAACTAGTATCTGTAACATACTAATTTCACAGTTAGTATGACATTTTAAGCACGAAAAAACTAAACCCCTCCACACAGCTAGGTACTAGTCAGCTTCTAATACTGCTACTCCAGTCGTAATGTGATATTTATTAACAGGAATTTACTAAAATTAGACATAACCATATCTACCATTTTCAAAGAATGATGTTTCACTTTGTTTAGACAATGTAAGGCTGACTCATACTGCAAGTACAGGGGCAAAAAAGGACAGGTCTCTTCTCTTGTAAAACCAACTTTAAATAAGCTCACACAAGATAAGTGGTTTGTGTTCAGAACATCAGGTTTGTATTTAACAGATTGAAGGTGACAAATCGGGAAGTTTTGGTCTGTCTCTATGAAAAGCTTTGATATCAGCAACTGGCATTTTTCCACAGGAAAAAAGAAATTCAAAAATCTCCACCCAACATTATGAAAGACTTGCATAATACCTTATTTTTAGACCCCTGCATTTCTGCCGCTATATCCAACAATTACTACCCAAGAAACAGAGAAAATGCTATGCTACTCAAATTGTACTACAAATTTATTAAATAAATTATTTGGGTACTTACTATGTCTTTGAAACTCTCATGCAATTGGTCCTCAGCAAAAATATGAAACTGGAGAGGTTTGATGCTGAAAATAATGGCTGATCTCAACATCGTAACAGTCTCCTCCAGTCTTTCACCACAGGCAACCACTGCTAGATGCATTTTCTCAGAAGGATGTGCTTTCATAGAATGGTATCTGATACAAAAATATTTTTTCATTTGACATTATTTCTAGCACAGGCTTGAAGAAAAGCTCTACTATGTACTGCAGCATGTCATTTACCAAAATAACTTTATCATATTTAAACCAGCAAAGGAGAACTCAAACAGAACATACAAACTACAGCATTACACCTCATATACGTAAGCTTCCATTTAACCTGAACAATTCTCGTATTCACTCCCACCATCCCAGCCTATGAGGGAAAAACAAGGTATGGAAGAGCTATACAGAAACTAAACAAACAAACATTTATTTTCTTAGTAATCTCACTATCCATGACTAGCAAGGAATTCCATGAAAATAGCGATGATAAAAGAAAGATCACATGAAGTTACACTGAAATGTGAAAGGCTGACAACACATTAAGATTATGTGTGAGTTCATTTCTCCTCTTGCCCTGGACTCAGTACAGAGATAGGTAAACATGATAAGTATAGCAGAGTTAAACTCAACAACAAAAGTGAGATAACCCCTACTTTTATTAAGTTCTGTTAAGCCCATTTTTGAGTGCTCTAGATGTTTTGTCCATTTTCTGCTCCAGTAAGTCCTTTTGTCAAACCCATGCTTCAGGGCTTCTCCTAAGCACCAGCAAAATGCAAGCAGCTTTCTCCTCTCCTTTCCATCCTGCAGGGTTACAACTTGGGTTAGGGGGCGGGGGAAAACTGACAGCTCAAATGGCCTTTTGGGGTGTCCTGGTGTTCCCAGTGGTTCTGGGACTGATCACATGCACTGCCCATGTCCTTGGGGGTAAACCACTGCAAGGTGTGGGGATTGGGAAGTCCTTTCTTCCTGAAGACGGCTGTCCAACAGTTCTGGTGAGAAGTGCCTGGTATGTGTTATACAGGGTGCATTTAAAAGTTACTTCATTATTTTAATACAATCGGGTAAATACCATTAGCTTGGTGGCAAACACAGTGGGCATACTAAACCTAAAACCACATTCTCCTGGATTTCATATATTTATTTAGTCAGAAAAGCTTTCAAAGGTTTTAAACATATGTCAGCTCAAAGCCAATCTTCAAAACAATATTCTGCGCTTGAGCTATTTGCAGAGACTATGGGAGGAAGGGGGCTAATGGAACTAAGAGTATCTGAAGGCTTAAATTACACATTTAATTCCAAGTTCTGACATTAGAAAAGACTTTCCCAAACTACAGTAAAGAAATGTTTGGCAAACATACCACCCATTCTTAGAAACTTGCCAAAGAGAGAGAAACTTCAAACCAGAAATTAACAGATGTGATTCTTAGCACATAATCTCCACCCAGTTTACGTAACTAAAACACTTAGATGTGTACAAGTTTTCCTTTAGTTTGACAAAAGATACTATGCAAATACACCTTTTTTTTCTTCAAGGCATGGAAAAGCAACACACATTATTTTGAGTTTAATACCATAAATAATGGCTGCATTTAAAAAAAACAGCCTGAGTTTTGGAAGAGTTTAATGCCCTGGAACTAAAAAAACTCCATCATCCCAGGGATTTAAGATTAATAAAAATTTAATTAGAACATGCAATCAGTCTTAAATCAAGGTTTGGGGTATTACTAAAAATCACATGGATGAAAGATCTCATAGGGAGGATTCAGATGCAAAATAGGACATCTAAATGAAGACACTGATACACAAGATTGTGTCCAAAGTCTCATTAAAGCCAACGGAGACCTAGTGAGCAGGACATGGAGCGTAGACAGCAATTCATCTTATTTCAAAGCAAATACCTAGGGCTTGATTCAATTTTTTAACACAGGTATCGTGCCATTTAATAAGCTCTAGACTATCCCACTTGACCTCCAGGTGCCAGTCCAAAAGGACCAGGTGTCTCAAAAGATCATGTGGTATCGACTAGTCCTAGGGAGAAGTCTAGGATACCCAAATGCTTCTTAGTTAACTCCAGCCATTTATTTCTCAGCAACTTAATGGCTAGTCACCCAGATCATTCTCTATGCTCTTTCAATTTTAATGACCGCTTAAGACCTACTTGACACAGACACCTATATGCAGACATCTATATTCAGATGATTTAATCCGGAGACTGAAACCTATTATAAATCTTGCAGCAAAACCTCAAAAAATAGTTCAGGTTAATAGGAAAGGAAAAAAAAAAAAAGAATCTTTAAATGTAAGTGAGGCATGCCCATTTAGACCTTTAGACATAAAGCTAATTTAAACATTACACCATGTAATAAGTAGCTAATGTAAAAAACACAAAGCAAGCTGAATGTGATGAGGGTAGCTGAAACCCACAAATAAATACGCTGCTGCAGTCAGAACAAGCTGCAAGCACCAGATTAGCCTCATCACTAATCCACTGAAAAGGGAATTACAATAATTAAGCCCTGAAGTCATGAAAGCCTACAGTGATATTGCAAGGTCATAAGGGCACAACCTACACAAACTGCATAGCTGAAAGCCAAGTTCCTGAACCACATGTAACACATGGCTTTCCATGAATAAGGTATGATGAAAATTATGCCAGTGCAACTCTAAAAGGCACTGAGATTTAAGGACTGTATTTTATTATGTCTACATCTAGTGACATCTGCAAACAAAATAACATCAAGCCACACAACAAAAAACAGACTGATCATATTATAATGCTTTTACAGTCACTTTATTCACATGATCTCTGTTCTACAAGTTTCCGACTTCATGAGTTCAAATTTTTAAATCTGTGCTTAAAAATAATTTTTTGAAAAGGAAAAGAAATATTTAGAAAACGCTAACAACAACTGAATTTCAGCTTGCACAACATGAGGAACAGCTGGACTCAGATTTCTAAGTCCACAACACAAAGCTTTATCCCTGAAGCAGATGGAGCAAGAAGCCATTGGAAAGAACAGGCCACCATTTCCTCTGGGGACTATCCGCTAAGAAGGGGATAAGATATATTAGGTCTCAGAGACATATTACAGCAGGAGAAATTATGAATCTCAGCCTCCTTTTTAATAATCAGGACTCAGTGCTGCTCCTCACCCTACATATACATCTCTCCCCACCCCCAGAGGGAAATCATTGCCCCATCTTCATCCAGGGACGCTAAGTACTCACCTCTTGGGGCTGATCCTCTGCTGCCAGCACCTTTCAGCACTTTTTCCTCCTCCACCCAGTAGAAGCAGCATAAATTTAAGCTGTCCAGCAGAGTTTATCAGCTTGAGCTCTGCAATCTCACCTTCAGTATTAACGTGCCCCACCCACAGAGCCAGTTCTCTATGCCATGACTTGTCTCACTCCCGTCTTCAATATTATGTCTACATATGACTTTGGTCCTTCCCCTACTTCCTTTCCAAATCACCTGCCCTCAACTGCTCCCTTCTCTACTTCTCCTTCCTGAATTTTCCAGCCTCTGTAACCCTTTTCCCCATCTTCCCTCCGCTGCTCTCCACTGCAGTTCAAGTCACACCAAAAGACCAGGAAAGGAATCACAGAATCATAGAATGGTTTGGGTTGGAAGGGACTTTTAGAGGTAGTCTAGCCCAACCCACGTGCAGTGAGCAGGGACATCTTCAACTGGATCAGGTTGCTCAGAGCCTCATCCAACCTGGCCTTGAATTTTCCAGGGATGGGGCCTCCACCATCTCCCTGGGCAACCCATTCCAGTGTTTGACCACCCTCATTGTAAAGAATTTCTTCCTTATATCCAGTCTAAACCTACCCTGTTTTAGTTTAAAACCATTACCCCTTGTCCTGTCACAACCAGCCCTGCTAAAAAGGTTTTCCCTGTCTTTCCTATTGGCTCCTTTAAGTATTGAAAGGCCGCAATCAGGTCTCCCTGCAGCCTTCTCTTCTCCAGGCTGAACAAGCCCAACTCTCTCAGCCTGTCCTTGTAGGAGAGGTGCTCCAGCCCTCGGATCATTTTTGTAGCCCTTGTTCATTTAGACAGCCCTGGGTCTGGTATGACCTAATGCCACAAGCTTTTTCAGCAATGCAGATGATTTGTTAGCAGTTCAGTATCTGAGTTCACCATGAGCAAAATAAAATGTATCTTATAAGAAGTGTAACTTCCCTGAACTTGTCTGAACCTGAGCAAGCTCTGGTATCAGCGCAATACCCTTATTGAACCTCAAATCCAAGTTCTGAAGAGTTTCAGACTTTCAACTGTGAGGAGATACTTCCAAAAAAATGTTGAGAGGCAACGTGGAAAACAAAAATACAAATGCAAATTTTTATATGCACATTTCTAATTACTAGTAGCCTGATGTTTTGGTGTGGGAGAACTTACTGGAGAAGCTGAAAAAAGCAACAATAGAGTGAAACACATTGTATTTTAGTAAGTGGTTTGGATAGACTAACAAGGAAAACTTGACAGCCCTAATTTCTAAAGGAAAAAAAATCTCCAGTAATGTGGGAGTCCTAGCTCCTGGGGGTGGGGGGAAGTCTCTGGTAATTAAAATGGAAGAGTAAAGAATGCATCTGTAATCCAATAGAAGATACTGAGCAGGAAGCCATGACAGGATTTGGGTGTTTAGGGACAAATAAGAGAACTTTATTTGTCTCAGGATACTAATTACATGAATGGTAGGGACAGTAAAAATAAATTAAATAAAACACTCGAGAGAGAGCACCATGCATACTCCCACTGACTTTAGAAAACACATTTTAAACAATCCACTTTGACGCTGTGAGAGCAAAACCATGTAACTTTGAAACATGCTGCTCAGCAGCAGCGCGAGGCCAGGTACCAGCCGTGCCCTGAAGTATTTCTGTGTTGAAGTGTAGACCTTCATTTTGTACTGATTAATTCTGCTGTGGGTTTAATAACCTCTGACAGAGGAACATAGCTGGATATGCTCAATGAATCTGCTACAACAAGATTTTCCGGAGCCTGCCTGTCAAGACACTGCCTTATGCTTAAAGATGTATATACCATGGCACACTGTGTATTAAATTAGCATTTCTAGGTCAATTAAAATGATGAAGTAATAATTTGGTAGTAAGCTACAGAGGTACATTTTGACGGGTTGTATTCTTCT